CAGTTCAGCATAATCAAATCTTTATGATGAGAAGTTAACCTTAGTGAATGAACTCATTGACCTATACTGGAAATGGACACAAGGGTTAATATTCCAGGAAAATTGAGTAAAGTTTGTTACAATCATGGTAAGCTTACGTGTATATGTTTGTCTTATAATTACAACAGTCACGTTTTTGTAAAATTCAGATACTGCAGTTCATTTGTGTAACAGTATGTGAAAAAATGAACTTACCACGAATCAGTTACATTATAATACAGAATACGTGTCGTTAAATATGTTTTGTTATACTGTTTTTCAATCCTACATATAAATCGCATTCATATACTCATACTTACGATCCACTTAATCCTGGAACTAAACGATTTTTTTCTTTTAACATAAGTGTCCAATATGTTTTGTTGATGGATATCTACGTTATCTGACCAAACATACGATTGAACACGTTGATATTCTCTGATTATTATTGCATTGGTCTGTTAGCATTCTGAAGAAACAAAATCATGTTTTTCAAATAAGGATCCGTTCTATAAATAAGGATCCGTTCTGTAAATAAGGATCCGTTCTGTAAATGGAGAGGAATACAGATATTCCACATCCGAAGATAATGGTTTTGCATAATCACTTAATTTATAACAAAAGGTCCTTTTCAGGACCGTCAAATATTGAAAAAGAGAATGCAATGAATGCACATTTAAAGTTTGGTATTATAATGTAAAGGGAAGGAGTCAATAAACTCATTTTGCCTGAGCGTTAAGGTCAAAGTTCAGTGACATACAAAATCCGTTCGTCAGCTGGTTAGGCTAAATTTAGTTATTAATGTCTAGTGAATATAATTTTTTTTTTTGGTTTTAAAGCATATTTTATACTGATAAACACGATACATTAAAATGTGATATACAATAATAATGCTCTAAATTGATATTTAAAAAATAATTAAATCATAAAACAAAAACATCAAAAATTAGATTTCAATACGTCTGATGTTAAACAATTACGAGATAATAATACTACTATACACATAGCAACATGATTACTGTAAGTTATAACAACGTAATAAATTCAGCATTGCTTACACAATGCTTCACAAGAGTTACAGTATTTATTCAAATATATACTTTGAGCTTTACAATGTTGAAAATATAAAACAAATAAATATTATCATTACCGTTACAGCTTTGTTTGTTTGTAATAAATTTCGCGCAAAGATACGAGGGCTGTCTGTGCTAGCCGTCCCTACTTTAGCAGTTTAAGAGTAGAGGAAAGGCAATTAGTCATCACCGCCAACTCTCGGGCTACTCTTTTACCAACGAGTAGTGGGATTGACCGTTACTTAATAACGCCCCCATGTTGGGTGTGACGGGGATTCAAACTCGCGACCGGCAGATGCGAGTCGAGCGCCCTAACCACCTGGCCATGACGGGCCAGCCTTTACAGCTTTAGCCAAGCATGTACAAATGAATTAAATCATAGGCTTAAACAAAATTAAAGTGTACACACGTAAAAATGTGGTATGATCAATATTAAAAACTATAATTCAATATTGTTTGGATTTATTATTATGCATAAATACAGAATTGCATCGTCTGTGATGTCCCTATTTCCTGGAATAACTCCGCTGACTACCCCACTGTAATTTGTGACTCAGCAATCGATAATTAAGTTGAATTGGCTTTTACAGTACATGTCAGTTGATTGTATACATAGTCTGTTTTACGTATGTTGTACATTCACTTATAGTTTTATCAATTTTGAACGTATGTCTTGAGTTCCTGTTATACTTACCAATTGCCTCAGCGATCTAGTGTTTTGAACTTCAAAGTGAATGTTCTACAGAAAGTCATAGTGACTAAAATAGAAAGTGTTACTATTTTGCTTAGATTCTATAATAGTAAAGTTTACTTAAGTGATTGAATTTTGTTCTATAGTAAGTCATTTGTTTAAATTATATGGTTCAAACAAAGTTTGAACGCTTTACGTTAAAACAGTCATCTAAGTACTTGATTCTAAGATCATCTCGTGTGTGTGTGTGAACCATAAAGTAAAACTATACTACAATACAATTTCTGTAATAAAGCATTTATGTAAAATTTGAAGATTATGTTCAAATGGGGGGAAACAAAAACGTTTATTTCAGGATTAAGTAAATTGTATGGTGTGTATATGAATGCGATTTGTATCTAGGATTCAAAAACAATACAGTAAAACATAAATAGCGACATGTACTCTGTATTGTAATATGCACACTCATCATAGGTGACCTCATCGTTCTACACTTTGGACCCCCAATTTCTGACCCTAATAACATGGCCTCTGATAGCACAACTTGAAAATACGATATCTCAAACTATTCGCCGGATAGTATGCGCTCATACCACGTAACACGTCCTCTGTGCCACTTTATGGAACTAACTAAAGTCAGGTGACCAATGGTCTCAAAGCTCCCTCGGGCCAATGAGCGACTAGTAACACTATATGGATTCAAGTCCGATCACTTTTCGAGGTTCCTAAATAATTTCTTTCTACTGAGTTTAGTAGATATGGTAGGGTTCATTCTGTTGTACTTGAACTTCACCATAATTGTAAATTTTGCAGTATAATGATCGTTAGAAATTCATGATTAAACTCATTTCCAACTTTGTGAAATTTGGAAAGTTCCGGGAAATAGTAAATTACCCTAAAATGCAGAGGTTGCCTGACTAGAAGCAGAAAACGTGGCGAAGTAACATTATATTCTTTTGTTGGTCATAAAGAATCGATTACTTAATACAAAAGTAATGAAACGTCTGTGGGAGAAAACACAGTTGATGCTGAGAAGAGTCTAGAGAGTTCGAAACTACTGTGAACTCATGGAGTCACAGGTGTCGGATCAGGGAGCCAAGGCACCCCACCTTCAATACGAGGAGAGAATAATCCACCTCGTACACCTACATTTCCACAGGTTTATGATTTGTCCGAACTCACTAATTTTA